TGTGTGTGTGTGCGTGTGTTTAAATAAGGGTCTACCTGTACTGTGGATGCAGACATATTCCTTAGAAAAAGTATTTCCTTCTCCTCAAGAGAGAATGTCTCCTTTCAGATGTATAGGTAGAAGGAACCCCGGAGGTTATCTATAGCAGTGTTTTTCAACCTTGGCTATTTTAAGATGTGTGCAAATCCCAGAAGGATGCTGGCTGGGGCATTCTGGGAGCTGAAGCCCAGCCATCTTAAAGCATGCTGGCTGGGGCATTCTGGGAGCTGAAGCCCAGCCATCTTAAAGCATGCTGGCTGGGGCATTCTGGGAGCTGAAGCCCAGCCATCTTGCTGGCTGGGGCATTCTGGGAGCTGAAGCCCAGCCATCTTAAAGCATGCTGGCCGAGGAATTCCAGGAGTTGACCCACACATCTTAAAATGGCTAAGGTTGAGAAACAGTGATCTATACCATCCCCTGCCAAGCAGTGAAATCAACTCATATAGCTTCCACAACAGGTCCAGCTTCCAATTTCCAAGAAAGTTTCATGACCAAAAGAGCCTGTGCCGTTGAGAGATTATACCTGTCTAAATCTTTTCCCTCACTATTGGAAAGAAGGGGACCAGGGTCTGCACCACTTCATGGGACAGCAAATATTTAAGATGGTTAGAATCTCACCTCTTAGTCATCCCTTTGGGAGATGAAGCATAACCATTTATGCCCTCCACCCAGGACGTAGACTTCCTTCCTTGCCAGCTCTTCCTCCCTTTGCTAGACCTGGTTCAGTGGGACAAAATCTTTATCCTGCAGTGACTGGAGCAGGACACAAGGACAGGTTGAATTGGCCATGTTGGAGATGGAGTCTCCCCTATTCTTTTATATCTCTGCCTGAGCTCAGTGTTGTGACCAGAGCCGGCAGGAGCATCTAGCTGACCTTGACTGACCATGAACTAGACTTGGATTTTTTTTTTAAATCCAGAAAGAATGCGACAGCAAGACACTTCCATGCTATTGGAGGATATCCATGTAGTAACTTGATGTCAAACTCCATTTGAGGAAGACCCTACCTTTATATAAGCTGTGGGTGCTAAACCTGAGCTGGCCAAGCTCTATTTGGTCTTCCCAAAATCACCACTGAAGGGCAATTTTAGGATACAGACAATTATTAAAGCTACAGGGAATCACTGCGTTCACTGTGTTTAATTAACGCAGAAAATCGTTGTCATTCCCAACGTCTCACGTGCACAGAGACCGACTGAGCTTCAAAAACCAGCCCTGATCATTGTATTTCCTACAAGGTTTTATTATTATTATTTTTCTTCTGCAAAGCAAGACTCCTGACCTTAATGGCGGTTTAGTGCTAACAGGATATAAAAAATGGTTCAGAATCTAAACATATCAAGCTATGCACATCTGCAAATCATCAGCCAACATGAATCTGGTTGTCCCATCTTTCCAGTGCCTATAAATGGCCCTGGCTCGGAGACACTGGCTGACAACCAGGTTATTATCAACACAAGTGCATTAGGAATTAAACATCTGTAATTTCTGCATGCTAAAAACCAAAGGCTTCTACCAAGAAAAGGTGACTTTGCTGATTCGCGCGAACTTGCATTTTTTGCAAAATTTATTCTCTCCTCCGTGCATATGAAAATGGATTTGTTCATACAGTTTTGCTGTTCATACGTGTTTGTATTTATGTATTTATTATATGTTCATTTATTCAGCTTCTGCTAGTTTTTAAGGTCTTCTAATCTGCGCTCAAAAGAAAACGCCTTTTGCTTAAGCACAAATATAGAACGGATCTGTTGAAATGTACACACTGCTTTTGAAAGTTCCTATCATTTTAGCACGGTGTTAATTCCCCCCATGCGAGTTTTAATTAGTGCAAACACATGCTTTAGCCTACATCGAAGAAAAATGCTACAGCAACCGTGCTCCTAAATAAAGATAAAAAATAAGCCCTTTGCTGAAATTTAAATTTGACTTTTGCAAATAGCTTTAAATAATTGCTCTGCTCAGATAGGCTCCCTTCCTGCCCGATCACCCCCACGAGGATGGGCAGAAGAGAACAAGCTGTACAAAGATCAAGAAGTTGATGTCTGAAAGACCAACTCTAGTTCCATGCGGAGTATCCGACCGAAAGGGCAAGGATTTCTTGAAATGCTAGGACCCACCAGCTGGAAAACATCTCCTGTTTTTCTGTGTGCTCCTATGGAACTGAAACTTGGGAAGAAAAACTTCTGAACTTTCTTATCTATAAAGTGCACTTCCGCTGTTCTATTTTTTGGCCCTGGGAAGGAAAATGCGACTAAGTGATACCCTGGATTTGTGTGTGTGTGTGTTTCGAAAGGGTTTTCCTTTTAATACATGATGTGTACAGACTGGCCCCAGGGAAACATTTTAGCCCCTTCTTCTTACCAGCTGAGATAACTGGACTTGGACGTCGCTGGTTTCCAGAGGAGATTCACTGCAACCCTCCAGCAGCGACTGGTTTTCCCGGTACTTATGGGATCTGGCAGACAGCGACAAGAAATCTTTCCCAGTTATCCCAAAGTCTCCTAAGTGATGGGCCTCTCCATTCTGATCCTGAAAAAATAAAAAGGAATTTAGGGACAATTTGCCCAGGGCAGGGGTGTCTGCAGCAAGGCCCCCCCTCCAGTAACATCGCCTCTCCTTGACACGCCTGTGTCGTGACACTGCTGCGGGGTTTGCGTAGGGACTTTGCTGCACACGCTCAGACGCTGCAAAGGAACATCTTGTTCCTTGCTTGCTGGCAAAAATCAGGCCGGACAGCCCGGCTGGCTTGATTTTTGCTGGTAATTGTCAAATGTTGGTTGAGGGCAGGCTGGTTGAGGGCAGGTTGAGGGCAAGCAGCCTGCTGCTTCTGGCCATTTCCAAGAAAACTTGGATAATATAAAATACAAAACTTGGGTAATATAAAATGCAAGTACAGGTAGTCCTCACTTAACAACCATTCATTTAGTGACTGTTCGAAGTTACAAGGGTGCTGAACAAAGGGACTTACAACCGGTTCTTGCACTTACAACTGCCGCAGCACCCCCACAGTCATGTGATCGCAATCTGGGGACTTGGCAACCAGCTCGCACTTATGATGGTTGCAGCATCCTGGGGTCACATGATCGCCCGATGTGACCTTCCCAGGCAGCTTCCGGCAAGCAAAATCAATGGGGAGCTGTGTGATTCACTTAATGACCGTGTGATTCACTGAATGACAGCTGCAAAAAAAGGTTGCAAAATCGGGCATGACTCGCTTAACAGCCTCCCGGCTTAACAACAAATTTTCCAGTCCCTATTGTGGTCGTTAAGTGAGGACTACCTGTAATGCAAATATTGGATGATTATGGAAAAAGGAACTAACTTGCTCCAAATCATAGCCAAGGATCTGCATTTCTACCCATCCCCACCACATTATTCTATAGGCTCCACTGCTACTCTCTTCAGCACACACGCAGGTTTTTAAGACAAAGAGGAAGGCCTTAGAGCTTTCTATGGAGTCTGGAGGCTTGATTTGGCTTCCTGCATGGAGCTGGAGTTGAACTGGGTGCCCTTGAGGGTCCCTGCCAGCTCCTGGATGCTGCAAGGAGAACAGCAGAGACCCTGGAAGGAAGAGCCCAATGCAGATATTAACGTCCCCGTCCCCCAAACGGATTAGCAGACATCCAAAGCAAGTAGGTTTTGCCGGCGTTCCTTGGGGAGACCCCTCGGTGCCCTGGTCTAAGATGGCATCAAAGCCGGCTCTGACTTCTTGCTCCCAGAACAACGTGAGAAGAACAGAGGGGTGCAAGCTGTCATTAAAAATGAATGAATGAATGAATGGAACCAGCTCTTAACCTCCCCGAAAAGGGTATCTTGCAAAGCAAGCCAGAACAAGCCGTTGCTTGTGGCCCAGCAGTTCTTCTCCCGCTGAATCGCCTGGATCCTCGCCGCCACCGAAGGCTCCCGTTACCTGGCAGCTCGCTTTTAATTGACTCTTCGGCTTTCAGGGCAGCCTTCGCCAAAGGTGGGCGCTCTCCAGGTGTGTAAACTTCCCTCCAAGATTCTCAGCAGCAGCCAAACGCTTCTGGGGAATTCTGGGAGTTGAAGCCCACCCATTTGGAAGACAACCTTCAACTCCCAGAATGCTCAGCAAGGGTCACACACTGACCGGAGAATTCTGGGAATTGAAGTCTATCTATCTGGACGATATCTGTCAACTCCCAGAATTCTCAGCAGGGGCCAGGCTATCTATCTGGAGCACATCTTTCAATTCTCAGAATTCCCAGCAACGGCCAGACTGGAGAATTCTGGGAACCGAAGTCCACCTAACTGAAAGGCAACCTTCAACTCCCAGAATGCTCAGCAACGGCCAGACTGGAGAATTCTGGGAACCGAAATCCACCTATCTGGAAGACAACCTTCAACTCCCAGAATGCTCAGCAACCGCCAGACTGGAGAATTCTGGGAACTGAAGTCCAGCAAGGCACTCAGGACTGGGAAGGTTGTATTAGAACAACAAGAATTATTGCCTCTTTGCTACCAACCTGGGTCTCCATTTACCTTTTCAGGTGGGAACCTCAGAAGGTCAAGGCTGTTCATGCTGTTGGTTTGGGCCCACTTTGGTCTGGCTCCTGGAAAAGACGCGGCAGCCGTGGGTGAGGATTTCGAGGCAGATGAAGGCAGACCAGAACAGGTCCCTTCCTCTTCACATATTACATACGCAGCACCAAAACAAAGCTTTCCAAGGTGACTTGCGGCGCTCTCAATTTAATTGAAACTAAGTCATTAAGTTAAAAGGCAACTACCGCAGATAATATATCAGCAATCCAATGGCAGAGAGAAAAGAAATTGCAAGTGCCATTGCAGCAAAAATGTTAAGCTAGTAGAGCAGCGTTCCTCAACCTTGGCGGATTGAAGATGGTTGGCCTTCAATTCCCAGAATTCCCCAGCCAGCTTGGCTGGCTGGGG